CCAGTATACATGCATCCTAGGCAATAAATTTAAGGCTGATTGAACAACAGAATTATTACCTATCTATAAAATATCTGTTAAGTATACAGAGATCACAAAGCCAATACATGATAAAGTTAGAACTTTCTAAAATAATGTTTAATTCTCATTATTATATTAAGTCCTGAAGTATTAATGGATTAAAATGGATAGTTTCTCATAAATGAAACATAACAAATTGATTTTAACTGATAAGCACAAATCTAACTTTCTTTTAATAGGATTTTTAAAAATCAAGYTTTCCACACTACACATAGATGGTGCTGAATAAAGACAATATAATACTTCATTCTAATTTTTTTTTTCACTAGCATGCAACTTAATCACACAAGCATGGCATTAGGCAAAATTGAATAACATCTGAGAATACAAATGGTAGAATATTCTCCATGGAAATCTCAGCCCAAAKGATACATGAGTAGACTCTTATATACCAAAAATTTATAAATCAAAACAAAGATAACTAGTGTTTTTCCAAAAGTAGGCCTAGGAGGAAAATGTTTTAAATTTCTACATTTCTTGCTCATTTCTTTTCTGTTCTTTTCCCATAAAGTGTCAGATTCTTATTTGTTTCACATACTACTTTGAATCTCCAGCTAGATATGTGTGTGTGTGTGTGTGTGTGTGTGTGTGAGAGAGAGAGAGAGAGAGAAGTGTGTATGTGTGTGTGTGTGTGTGTGTGTGTGTGTGTGTGTGTCTGTCTAGAGAATCAAATAAACTTGGCAAAGTTTGAGAAGGGAGTATGACAAAGATAAAGTTTTTCAAAGAAAAATATAACAGAATGTTAAATTTCTGATTCAATGTCTTTTTGAAATTTCAACTGCTTCAACCAGCTTTCTTATTAAATCAAATTGGGTTCTTTGTGAACTCAATTTTAATCCCTAGTGAACAAAAAGCTATTTCCTCTCATGGCTTTTACTATGGATATATTCAGAGACTAGAATATTTGGCATGCCTCCAGACTCATTGTGTGGGCTCCTTGTTAGTTTTGTGCAAAAAAATTAAATCTCACCATTTTCTTATGTTGTTAAGAGGAAAAAATAAATAAAAGACATCAACAAATAATAAGACATCAACAAATAATTGCACATCCTTTTGGTGGAGACAGAAATAAAAGCATGAAAGCTAAAAAAAAAAGTGTTGTATTCAACTTAGACTAGTTAATAATTCACATATAGGCCATTCATTTTTTTGTATGAAAACTAGAAGGAAATTTCCTGGTTCCATTCATACTGCCAGGCAATCCTTGAAAGACTCTATTGGAACCAAAATATTTCAACGTAAGTATTGCTTTACTCTCCTTCTCTCACACACACACAAATACAATCACACAAAGAAACATCACTGAAAGAAAAAGGAGAAAATATTACATTTTGCAGAGCAAACAGTGAGTGAGAAAAAAGCATAATGTCAAAAATTTTACCATGAAATGTAGCAAGATAATACTGTAAAATATATTAGTGAATTAACAGCAGCTTACTTGCATATAGAAAGTAATTTCTTCACATTATTGTTTTTTAGRAAAAAATGAAATAATTCATTCTYATTATTACTACTTAAAAAATATAGAAAGATCTTTCTTTTAAAGGAGCAATGATGGTGTGCACACACATATCATATATTTAAAGGAACAACAAGAGCCATATAATCATTTTTAAAAGTTGCAAAATTAGATTATCAACCACACAAACTCCAGTGGCACTTACATACCAAGTAATATGTCCAAAGCTGGGCTGAGAGATAACGATTCTTTAGGATGTTATTAAGTGCATTTTCAAATCAATACAATCAAACATAATGACACATAAATATAACTACTGGTGCTGAGAAATAAGAAGGAAGCTCTAGGTGAATTTCTAGAGTGCTATACTGTACAGGTTTATAGGGAATCACGCTCTAAATTTGCACTGRACTACAAAAGTAAGGAAGGAAACTAAAATGAAAATGGATTGCAAATCGAGGTTTTTCAATAGAGAAGAGACTAATCATTCAACAGACACTTWACACAAGTCTAATCTATACACTGCTGGGACCTGAGAATATGGATCAAACACATTGAAATAGCAAAACACATTGCATTTTCTAGAGAAGCTCCTCACAAAGAAGCACATATGACTGTCTCAAACAATAAGACCTTCGAATGGTAGAGTTAACCTTTAAAACATATATCTATTTCTCATTCAATGAAAGCCTCAAAGAAAAAGCATCCAAATCCCATGGTATAGTTATRGAATTTGCATAAATATGTGACATATTTATTTTTATTAAAAAAAGAGGTGGTTTCTTATCCTCTTTATATATTAGGATTATTTGACTATGACAGGATAGAAAGGGAAGGTAGGAGGAGAGATAAAGGGAAGTTAGATAACAGGTACCAAAATACAGTTAGATAGAAGTAATAAGTTCTAGCAGTCTACAACACAGTGGGTGCCTAGTGTTCAAAATTGCATTTTATGAATAACTAGAAGAGAGACACTTGAAGTGTTCAAATACAATGTACTTATGAAAGTGTTAATCATCCTGATTTGATCAGTATRTATTCTATGCATGTATTGAAATATTACACAGTACCTTATTAATGTGTACAATCATTCCATATTAATCCAAAATTGAAAAGAAGTTGAGTGCAGTGGTGCATATCAGTAATCCCAGCAACTTGGGAGACTGAGACAGTAGAATAGCTAAGTTCAAGGATAGCCTAGAAATTTAGGGGGACCCCATCTCAAAATTAAAAAGGGGGTTGGGTGGGGAAAGTAGCTTTAAAAAAATGGCTGATTGCACATAATTTAGGAGATAGATATGTTAACTTTCCTTATTTGGTCATTGGGCACTGTGTATGAATATTTAATTATCACCCTGCATCCCACAAATTTATACAATTAAAATAATAGTCGGATATGGTGGCACACCCCTGTAGTCCCAAAAACCATGGCAGGAGGATTACAAGTTCAAGGATAACCTCAGCAACTTGGCGAGGCCCTAAGCACCTTAGTGAGATCCTGTYTCAAGATAAAAATATATATATAAATAAAGTTTTAAAGGGCTGAGCATGTGATTCAATGATTAAGTACCCTGGGTACAATTCCCAATACTGAAAATAATAAAAAAAAACTAAAAATAGAAAATGAGGAATGTGAAATGCCATGCTAAAATATGACATAAAGAAGTTTCATGAAATTAACTTAGCATTTACCAACCATGAAATTTTATCGTGAGTTTATGACTAATCAAATAGCAGCACTTCTGCCCTGCCTGCCTCTGTGAATATATATGTGTGTATATTCTGGTCTCAAAATTATACCAGTATTTGTGACTGGTAGAGTCCCATATAATGACATTATTAAAAGTACCTAAATATATTTTTTCTCTTTATATAGGAAAAATGAAGTATATTTATTCTTATGTCCACAAGAGGTTCAAAGCAGATGTGTCAGTGTCAAACAACCCTAGATTCAGGGCCAAGTTTACCACATGGTAGCTGTGGTACTTTGGGCAAGTTACCTAAAGCTCCAGTGCTTCATTCACTTTTTTATGAGTAAAATAGATAATAAAGAGAAAAGAGAGATAATCATGTAAAGTCTGTAACATTTCCTGGCCTATACAACAACTAAGTATTCAGCATTACCATTAATTAAGATGATGGATCAAAATTGATTTCAGCAATATAAGCTAACAAAAATAGTTAAATCATACCAAAGTGAGGAGGATAAAATATACAAAATAGCATTTCAGCCAAAAAAGTTATTCGAAATTAATGTCATTATTCCACTTTTCCATGATAAACAAAAATGTAAAAGACAACAAGACAAACCAGCCAGTAACATAAACCAACCTAMTAAAATCCTTAATAATTATTATAGAAAAACTGGTGATGATATGCAATTTCAGTGTTTGTGAATTAAATGTGAAGATCAATTACACAGAATGGTAAATGGCAATTTTATAATACTGTCATAAGTTATAAGGATTACATATTCCAAAGACACAATTATACTAAAGGCAGAATTAGGAAAATAACTTAGAGACATGTTATTATTGCCAGTGATTACATATGTAGCTTATAAGTGTTATTCAACATAAATGGAATTTTAGAGCACCTAAAGCTTTTCATTATTTCCAGTTCCGCCATAAAAATTAAATGAGAATAGTGTGGAAATCAAGCAAATGCATTTATACAATTTTGACCATGCAGCCAGAAAGTTCTGTGTTTAATTTGGACAAATTTTGTCTTTTCTAATAAATTACTGGACTAAATACATWCTCATCTCTAAAAATGAGAAGTTGGCACATTTGCCTATAAAATAAACTCCAGTAAGTTTTAATAAATATTGATTAAATGAGTTACACATAGGAACTACTCATTTCAATTTCATTCTTGACACTTTCAAAATGGAATAAAATGCATTCAACAAAACTATGTGATCTCCATTTCTGGCAATGTTAATTCAGAAATATTGTAAGTAAAATATTTTTTATGAAACTGTTGATGTTTGAAAAATAAATGCCATCTTAAGTAATCACTTCCATTAAAACATGCTTAAAGCTTTTCTTCCTTTGTCTTCACTATGTTTAAAAATGAAGAATAACAATCAATGAATCAATGGGGAATTAATGGATTTAAGCAGAGAAATGAATTCTAGAATCATTTGAAAATGTCATTTTCTTGTTCTAGTCACTAAATTTTAATATCATGTCCACACTTGAGTATAGGAAGATGAGAGTCTTACCTCACTTTTTAAATTTGACTGTTACAAGTAGTTTTGAGTTATACTAAAAAATACTTATTCGTCTTACTCCTCTCTACTTTCTAAAACAGCTAAGTTGTTATATCACTAGGAGAGAAAATTTTCTCATGGAAGACCTTAGTCTCTTTGAATTATGTTCACATTTGTTTTGCTGTGACCATGTCAGATGCTGACACAAATACAAATAGGTGAGGTATGTCTTCACAAAACACTCACCACAGTTGGCTTCATCTGATGCATCTGCACAGTCCGGATCCTCATCACAAACCCACAGCTTGGAAATGCAGTGTTTGGTAGTTTTACATTGGAAATAGTCAGGAGAACAGCTGTTTTCAGCTTAAGAAAAGAAACATCTATTAACATGTAGCTTTGAAGAAGAAGAGACTATTTTTTTATATAAAAAACAATTACACCAATGTTTAAGGCAATTTATCAAAAATATATTATCTATTCATTAGTCATGTTCTGAAAGTGATGGAAGTCAACTTTCAAATACCTATGTGTTTCTAATATTCTTTCTAGTACAAAAAAAAGGAAAAACATATTTCTGCAATGATACATTGATTAAAAATCAGAATTTTCAATAAAACATTTGATTAGATGTTTGTAAAAATTAATTTGAAAAAATCAAGAATTTAGGTTTTTCAAAATATTTTTCCATATTAATTTAATAATTTATATTTATTTATGAACTTAATTCATTGAAAAGAAACAAACTGGAGGACATTACATGAATGAGCGAACAAAAATCATGAAATTCAATCAAAGTCTCCAGAAGTTGTGTTGAGTTTTGAAGGAAGTGGTGAACATCCGATTTAGACTATAAACTGCATCACAAATCCTACTCAGTTTAATGGTTCAGCTTCCAGAATGGCTAACCATAAAGAACTTGTACTGACTTTATTCTGAATGCACCATCTTAATCAAATTGCTGGATGACTGCACATTATTCACTGATAAAAGTTTTAGAGGAATAATATAAAACTTCTGCAAGACAGAAATGTTGACAGTAGTTTGGTTGAAAACCTAAAACCTGACAGGTGCTCTATCCCTTAGATCCTGTGTGTGTATGTGTGTGTGTGTGTGTGTGTGTGTGTGTGTGTGTATGCAAGTGCATGCCTGTTTACATGCATCTCTGCATTTGTTGTAAACTCTTTGCCTTCCATTTAAAGTAGTTTGATTTTTTGGATGAAGGTGGAAATAAATAGTGAACAGAATAAAATATATTTTTATCATAATTCTTTCAAATAACCTGTTAAGATTTATTAAATGGAACATTTATGTACATATTTTTAAAAGGAATTTTCTTAGCTTATTTTGCTTAGATATTATATATTTTATCATAGATTCAATACATGTTTCATGGAATCTTGAACTAAAATGGAGTTAATTTCAAGTATCCAAATCAACAGAAGAAAATTACCTGTATCTATTTAACATGGGCAATAAAAATGCAATGCTGTTTTTGATGCTTCACTTCAGGATGATGTAGATGAGAGATGTCATTCATTTCTCTCTGAATCTCCAGGTATATTTTAAAGTAAAGATCACCATGTTTTAATTTTCTCTACAATTTTTGATTACAGCATCATAAATAACCCATCCCATAGGCACCTAGTAACAACTATTTGAACATAATCACTGTCTTATTTTTCTACACTATATGATTTTATGATGAATAATAATTTTTAGACCAATTTCTGTTGGGAGTAAAAAGTAAGGCAAGAATGAACAATCGGTGTCAACTTACGACAGTCTCTTTCGTCTTCCTCATCACCACAGTCATCCTGCCCATTACATCTAAGGTTGATTGGGATGCATTTCTGGTTCTTAGTGCACTTGAACTGACCTGACAAGCAGACATGTGTGTCTAAAACAGAGAGAATAAAAAATCTGACCTGAGATCTATGTCTGAATTTAAGTCAGCACATACATAATCTGTTAGGAATGAGGTTTTCATTCTGTAGGAATATTATAACCTACCACAGTTGAGTTCATCAGAATTGTCTCCACAGTCATTTTCTCCATCGCAGATGAAAGCGGGCAGAGCACAGAGTCCAGTTCCACACTGAAACCGGCCTGGCTGACATTTAAATTCAGCTAAGATAGAAAACATACAGGTATTACAGAATGACAATCTTAGCTCATGACTTTTTAAACAGAGCTTTTCTGACATTAAAAGTATTTTGTTACATTATTATGTTAAACATGTCCTGGAGCACAGTGTGAATTTCTCACATCTAGAGAGCTGTTAGCTTCAGATATACAGCTAAGAAATGCAACTCAGATGGCTTCCAGATTACATTTCATAAACTAACTTAAGAAGGAGGAGCTAACAACATATAAATATAAAAAACTGTATTTAAAAAATCACATAAATAATTCTTCATTTCAATGAAGTGGTATTGAGAGGTTAAGTTGGAGAGTAATATTTACTGAAACTAAAAAAAACTTATTGGATATCACTTTTAAAAAATTCAGTGTTTTTTGTTCACTTTCTCACCCATGGTTTGCCMATTATATGCATATCTGTCCTCAATAATTTTTCTCTAGCTCTGCTTAAAGCAAATTTTCTGAACCTGTTACATTTAAATACATTTATTGATATTCATCCTTATACTATTATTTTGTATGAGGACAGAATCTGATATACAGCAAATATTTCTTACATGTCAAGCAAATATTATTCTAATAAACAACTTCCAAATGACAATGCATGTTCTTTTGCTATATTCTTAATTTTATGTAAATAATAACAATAATATTAATAACAATAATAGGATCTACTGAGAATCTATTCTGTATCATGCTAGACCTTATCACATTCAGTTATTTATTTAATGGCACTATAACTTTCTCACTTTGACATCACTATGGCCATTTGACTAATGAAAAAGCTTCCTGGATATTTTTTGTTTTTACTAGTGTATAACTATACATATTCCTAGAGTTTATTTTGACATAAACATACCAGCATGAAAATAATTCTATAATTCCACATTGGTCCCCAGTACTTTCTCTTTTTATCCCCCCTAATCTCCTCCCTCTTTTCTGCTGGTCATATATATGTATGTACTATGTATACATATACATACACACACACACTACATATCTACATATGTGTGTATATGTATATACATATGTATATACACACAGAGACACACATATATATATATATGTGTGTGTGTGTGTGTGTGTGTGTGTGTGTGTGTGAAGACACAAAGTATCAAACAACTTAAACATTTAGTGTGATCAGTTAACACATTTTACAGATTGGAATCAAATAACTTCCAATTCTTTAGAACTCTCTTCTATGGAAGGAAAGCGTGCGCGCGCGCACACACACACAGACACACACACACACACACACACATCAGTGCTTTATAGATATACATAAAGGCAAAATTTGCTATTGTATATTTTTATATGAGCATAGAATAATTTGGTCAATTCCATTCCATGATTCCACTACTTTCCCATCCCTCCTCTTTCCCCATCAATTCTATTCTTCTACTCAACTTATTTTCCTTCTATTTTTATGAGATTTCCCTCCCTTTCCCTTCATTTTGGTCCAACTCCACATATGAGAAAAAACATTTGACCTTTGACTTTTTTCAGTTGAACTTATTTCAATTAGCATGATGTTGTTCATTTCTATCCATTGACAAGAAATGCTATAATTTCATTCTTCTTTAGGGCTGAGTAAAATTACTTTGTGTATATATGCCACATTTTCTTTATCCATTCCTCTGTTGATGGTTTCATAAGAGGCACATCAATGATTACAGCAACATTTCCTGGATACTAATAGTCCRCTCAAGGATGCACAACTTATAAATCCAAACTAGAACTCAGAATATATGATCGGACTCTGAAGTCTTCTAAAAAATGTTATTTACAATGAAACACTTACTTTTTGACTAATGATTCTAATGTCTGTTACTGATCATTGACTGTGACATTAATAACACTCTATTAGTTCAAATCAGTGAATTAAAACTAATAAATGACATTTTAAAATTTCTTTGGGAAATAAACTCTGCTTTTATAATTAGAGCATTTGACTAAGAATTTAAACATTTTAAAACATAACTGAAAATATGTGCTTTCCTTCCAAAGAAGAGAGTTCTAAAGAATTGAAAGTTATTTGATTCCAATCTGTAAAACGTGTTAACTAATCACTCTAAATGTTTAAGCTGTTTGATATTTTGTGTTTTCATAGTTTGAAAATATGCATTTCTAAATTTGCTGTTACTGTATATAAAATTTTCTTTAATATTTATTTACTGTCAAAACAACCTTCTCATCAAGGGGGTTGTAACTATGAAATGAACAGCTGAGAAATAACTGAGAAGCCCATCTGACCCTCATATTTCTCAGTGGAATGATGCTTTCTGTACTAGAGTATCATAGGGAATGTAATTACAAACTTATGATGTCTGAGAATTCTTGATGCATCACTCTTAACTACATTATATAAATATCATTATGTAAATTTGCAASTACGTGACTCTCAGATTAAGCTTTACTGTCTTCTCAGGTGAAGTTATAGGTATTATCAGGGACTCTTAACATCTACATAGTGTGATGATGCAGCTACTCAAAAAAATGAAATATAAATACTCCACAGACTCATATATGCCATTTTTCACTTCACTTCACCATGGCTCTCAAAGTGTTATACCAATAGATGTTCAAAGATGTTGAACCATCAACTATAAGTCAAAATTATTTGCTGAAGACCACAGAGATAATGCCATCAATGAAATGTGAAGGATGGTTAGGAGAAAACATACGGGAAAATCTTCATGACACTGGACTAGACATTTTTTTTTTCAAATTTAATGCCAAAAGCATGGGCAACAAAAGCAAGATATACACAAGAGGTTTCGTCAAAGTAAAATGGTTCTTTACAACAAAGGAAACAACTAGAAGAGTAGACGGTTTATGGTATGGGAGRAATGACCCAAAAATAAATATCTGAAAAAGGAGTTACTATCCCAAATATGAGAAAAGTGGGTCAATATGAAAAACAAATTACGGACTCAAAAAATGCTCTACAGGCTTAAACAATTCTAAATAGAAAAGAATAAAATAGCCAAAAGTTTCAATATCACCATTCCTCCAAAAAATAAAAATAAAAATATCACCTCACATATATTAGAATGGGTGATATTAAAAAAATAAATAAATAAAYTACCATATGATTCAGCAATTTCACTACTGGGTATACATATACAAAGAAAAATAATGAAATCAGGATATGAAAAACATATCTGTATTCCAATATTCATTGAAGCATTATTCATGGCAGCAATATCATGGAATCAATAAAGGTTCCATCAGTATTTAAATGGATAAAGAAAATATGGCATATAAAAGCAATAAAATAGTATTCGACCTTGATAAGGAATGAATTTTTTTCCTGTGTCACAACTTGCATAAATTTGGAGAACATAATATTAAGTGAAATAAAAACAAGGAACAGAAATACAAACATTATATGATCTCATTTATGTGAGGAATCTGAAAAAAAAAATCTAACAGAGTAAAATGATCATTAAGTGAGCTGGGAATTTGGAGGATTGAGGAGATATTAGTCAAAAAGGAAAAGTCAGGAGGAATAACATTAAGAGACATTGTACATCATAATGACTATGGTTACTAASAATATATTATATGCTTGAAAAATATTAATAATAGATTTCCCATGTTAACATAACAGAAAAAAATGGTAGCTATGTGTCGGGAGCTACAAATAAATTACTGCTCTGAACTCCATAGCCTTGGACAGCTTGACTGCCACAGGTGGGAATCTTTCCATGTGCAGGTGTAGAAAGACATGCCCATTTGCAGGTGGCCATTGTTAGTGGGATCTATTCCATGCCTGGCATAGAATTTATGAGTTCAATCACTTTGAATTTAGATGCCTGCTAACCTTGGGTGAAAGAAATACCAGTGCACCCTGGTAGCCTTGAGGTGCCAGCTTCCTGGAGGAGGAAGAATTACTATATAAGTGACAAGGCCCCCACCAGGCCAATTTTCCAAAGCCTCTTTCCTCTTGTTTATCTTAAAGAACCCTTCCATTGGAATTTCTCTGATGTGTTTCCCTACAAAATAAAGGTTGGTAGGCTTTCTCTCTTTGTTAAGGATCAGACCCATCAGGTCTTTTCCATCCATCAAGCCCCCACTTAAACTATTTTGAGTTTTTGTTTTTATTTCTTAATACAATACTACTTCTTCAGACTTTTATTTCCAGCTGGCCCACACCTCTGAATGATTACTTATTTCCCTCCCTGAGCAGGATGTGGTGAACTATGTAAGGTGATACACATGTTTAATGACTTGATTTAGCCATTCTACAATGTATATACGTATAAAAACACATCAAATAAAATAAATACAATTTTTACTTATCAACTAAAAAATAAAGCATGTAAATATCAGTACTTGATTGGGATAAGGATCATACATAGAAAATTTCAGATACAAATGTCTGTACCTCTCTGCCAAAAGACATTAAAGTATTTGATTATCATATATCTAAAGGTGCGTAAATGCTAGAAACTCATTATATTAAATCTCTAGTTTAAATTATGACTGCATTGTTCTCTCTTTTTAAACAAACACTGAATTAAAAAGTAAATTTTTTGTATCAATATGGCTCCAGTATGAAATTTGAGTCAACGTCTATAGTTTAGGAATTGCAAACATTTTAAAGAAAGACAATTGCATGCTATTGGCTTTGTTGCGGGTCAGGATATATTCTTAGAAAATAATGCACCTTGGCAGTGAAGGTTGTCATGTTAATACAATGCCTAAATTAACATGCTTAATCTTGGAATTTCTATAAACCACAGTAAGTTGTATTTACATTCTTTTCTATAYATAGGGAAGTTTATTGTGGAGAACAAAATAACTTTCTTTAATATATAAACCAAAATGTTTTCCAATTCCTTTGATAGTCTCTTTAATTCAGTAATTTTTTTAAAGAAAGAATAATGCAGGCATGTTTTTTTTTTACCTGTTTTATACAATTACTATTCTGTATAGGTTGTCAATTAGAGTGAAAATAAAAAATATTTTTTTAAAAAATAGAGAGCTGTGAATCATTCAAAAACAGAAAGATTACAGTAGAAAGACTTTTATAACTTATTTTCCTTCTCATTGAGTTGATTAAATATTGCTTTCAAAAATAGAAATGAACTATGTGAAAAAATTTCCATTGTGTGTTAGACTTGGTAGTGACCAGTAGTGGAACATGGCTCATGCAAGTAATTTTCTAGAAAACTTAAATTTGAAACAGCTCTATAATTAGGCAGTGGAAAAAGTTCTACAGCTRAAAGTAGCAGTGCTATGCCAGAACACTCTCTTTCTTCCATACAATCCTAGGATCTTGAACTCAATTGTCAAGGCCAAATCAAGGCAACCATCCATTGGGATATTGAGGGAATTATCAGGATTGACTACCAGCATCTTCAACTTGACAGGACAATATTGGAGTGACCTATGGAGTGAACTGCAAAAGGCTATTAAAGAAAAGTCTGCTGATTGTCCATTACCACCTAAGTTATCTACGATGGCTTAAACTGTAGAATCTAACCATGCCCTGAAGACATAATTGGTAGTTACTTTACAGCAATTTAATAAATTGCCTAACAGCAAACAAAATCTGACTTTCAAGTATTTTCAGGATTTCAATACTGAGCAAAAAGTTAAAAAAATTCTAATTAGGATCCCATTCTATCCCTAAAAAGGAAAGTTTCATTCACTGTAAAACATTCTAAAAAAAAATTCCCATTTTTGCTTCCAAACTGGGAACATATTAAATTAAAGATCAATTGCTACATGAAACAATGCAAATTTTCAACAAATAACCAGATTTAGGCAAAAGAAAAAAAAAACATACAAATTGTTGACTATGTCATTCTAACATTCTAAATGTGACAGTTATTAGAATCATACCAAAACATTACAACTTTTTTTTTGTTATATCTAAAAGATTGTCATATAAAACCATTTTATTTCAATTTTAAGAACCAATTAGAAAATACTTAAAATATACTTTCAATTTTCCAGGTGTGTGTGTAAAAGGAACTCTGAATTCTAAATTCAAACATTTGTCAATATACTCACGACAGTCATCAGGTTCATCAGATCCATCACCACAGTCGTCCACAGTGTCACATTTCCACCAGAATGGAATGCATTTATCAGTTTTGCAACGAAACTTAAAAAAAAATGAAGAAAATGTTGAAGAATCCAATGTGTCTATTAAGGGTATCTCATGAGTGTAGTACGCCTTGTCTACCCACTCTCTTGCTGCAGATGTGAATGTTGGTAGTCAGAGAACCTTCTGCAATAGTAAATAAATGCTCAACAAATAGCAAAATGATCTGCCACGAAAGTACATTGCTCAAGAAAACCCATTCAGACTCTGCACACAGACACTTCACTCACTGTGTTCCACAACAGCCCAGTTGAGCAGATGCTAAAGAGACCCCGTGGCCCCACAACCTAAAATATTTACGAACTAGACCTTTACAGAAAATTTTCCAAACACCAAATAGGGCAAAAAGGATCAGGAATATCAGGAAGAGACAGCACATGGAATTAATTTAGTTAATCTGAATTAATTTATTTGAATTGTGTTTCATTAAAAATTTGGGTAATTCTGTTAACATCTTCTGTTCCTGTGTTCTTTAGCCTCTGAAGAAGGAGCTGAGGATTATCTGGAGGTTCCTTTCCAACTCTGTTGTGCTGTGGTTCCAGGAAAGTTCCTGAACATAGAAATACTGCCTTCACTCATAATGGTATTTGCTCCACATAAATATTAAGAATGCTTCTTTAAGACAGTAGAGGTTGATAGTTATTTTCAGCTTTTAAATAACTTTCTGTGTCTGACCTAACATCCTCCCAACTACTACGTAAAAGCCTCTGTATATGCTCTTTTCTTTTAAAATATTTTTTTGTTCTTTTTAGATATAAATGACAGTAGAGTGTATTTTGACATATTATACATACATGTACTTATAACTTATTCTAATTAGGATCCCATCCTTGCAGTTGTACCTGGTATGGAATTTCACTGGTGGAGTATTCATAGATGAAGATAGAAAAGTTATGCCTGATTCACTCTACTGTCTTTCCTATTCCCATTCCCCTCCCTTCCCTCCATTCTCCTTTCCACATAATAAGGGTGGGGAGGGAAGAATAAAAGCTTGGTAGTATTGTTAATTTTAACAGACCTGAACTATTAAGAATTCTAAAGCTAAGAATGCTGTAAGATAACCTCTTGTGACCTACAGAAGAACTCTCAGCTCTGCTGGAGTCTGCCTACCCTAATGCCTCCCACCAACATATTTGGTAAATGCATCTGTTTGATTTGTGACTTTCTTTTATTCACTGACTGTAACAGTTCATGTAACCACTTCCAAAGTGGAGCATTTTATTCAGGGTAACATGAAAACATGTTCCTGGGCCTTTGTCATTCACATTTGACTCAGAATAAGCTATCTCATTTCCTCTGGGGCAGAAGCTAAGTTTGCATCAAAAGTTGCATACTATTTTCATAAAGAAGGCCATCTGAACCCAAATTCATTCACTGAGCCAATGTAAAATACTACCATTCCTATAAAATTCACTAGTGGCCAATTGTATATAGTAACCAAAAAAATCCAATTTATTCCTTAGTGATCTCTGACCCAAAATCAATTTCTTTCTTAGCAACATTCAAGCAGGAAAATCTAAAGATAATCATACTTCTGTACAGACAATCATGTATGTGAAGTAGTTATAATTAAACAACTCATTTAAAATTGTTAAAACCAAGCAAGAAATTAATTTTAGTCAATTTATTCTTGTATCATTAAGTGATTTCCCTTCTTCATTTCAATAACAATTCAGTGAAAAGCATGCATTATAATATTCATCTGGCACTGAAAACATTAGTTTGATAATTTTCTAAAAGTTATTAATTTTCTTTTTGAAGTGTTTATGCTGTAATTCCCACACAAGTGAAGAGCTGGCATTTATCTTAGCATSTTATATAGAACAAAAATTTGCAATAGAAAACTGTAACCTTGGTTCCATTATCAGTGATAAAAATGGATTACCAATCCAAGAGTTTGTTCATTTAAAATACTGCTATTTTCTTCAAGTGAGAGAGAATTTGATGTTAGCTTTTGCTGTAACAGTCTGGACGGCAAGGAAGTGATTCAGGATACAATTACATTAAACATAAGAGTGGATTTTTCTTCCAGTAGCAAGGTGGAAGGAATAGAGCACAATGAATCCAAGGAGAGATCTGACTATTCAACTGATTTTCTCATATTTGCTTAGCCTGTGGTCATGTCTGTTGTGGKTTTTCATAAATTACCAGAGGGAAAAAATTACCTTTATAGATAGTGACTGTCTGGGGATATGAGGCTGAATCTGAAAGCAATTGCCCTGAACATTAAATATTTCCAGTCATTACAGTATATCAAAGCACATTAGTAAGAGGATTTCAGGTCTCCTGTKCATCTTTAAAGCATTCCCAATCAAGATTGGAAAAATATCTAAACAATGTCATTTTAAAATTTATTAAATATGCCTGAGTTAAACAAATGCCAACTATTAGAAATATAGATGACATGATTATTGCTCCCCATTTCATTTTTAATAAGTACATAAAATGGTTTTTTGAGTTAAGAGAAGCCAGGGTAAAATATACTTATGCTAACTATTCATACTAATCAACATTTTATTGTCTGAAAAAGACTTCTTCTATTTTGTGCCTGGGGTTCACTTTTTCATACTTAAATACAGTAACTTTAAAAAGACTAATGCTAAATACAAAACATTCTTCATGGTAAATGTTCTCTAAGACTAATATCTTAGTAAAATAAATTTTAAAGAGCCATAAAGAGGCTACAAATATATATGTCTTAGTATGAGGATAAAAATGCAAATCTACCTATGGTGAAGTACAGTTGAAACATGAAAGATCTCCACATAAAAGATAACAAAAGTCATTTTAAAATTGACTGTTTCTGATTTAAATTATTTAAATAAAATGCCTATAATCACCAGTGTTATAAGAATTAGATTTAATTTTGTTTTTACCAGATTCTCAGATTATGTTTTTAATTTTACGAAAATTATTGCTGTGATTTGCCTGTTTTTCTAAAACTCTATAGTAGTTAGGAACACATCATTGGAAGCAATCCTAAGATGATAAAACAATCCTTAGTAACAATACATTTAAAACAACAATTTTTCATCAAAGTATTTAATGGTATGATTCTGAAATATCTAGATTCACTTTATTTAAATATCTACCTCTCTAAAAATTGTGCTTCTATAAGTTGGTTGTTCTCTGAGAAGTTTAAAAGCATAGCTTTTTGTTGTTCCTCATCTGATCAGAAAGGAATCAGAGGTAAATATGCACATAAAGCAAACACTTGAAGAGATAAATACTAATGGGTTATCTCCAAGGGATTGTATTAGTAGTTCATTTTTAACATTTTTCTTGAAGAAAAAAAATGAAATGATAACATTTTTTAAAGAAGTATGGCTATAAACAGAATTATTTGTTCCACATTTTTTATTTGTTCTGTCTTGCTATATTTTTATACTCATTAACACTAATGAAGGTACTTGAAAACTATAAATATTTCGTGTATTTTTTATATGAATAATATTTTGGAGTTTCCTGAGGTTTTCATTTAACTGACTGATCAGATGTTCTAGGCCTTGAATAAATATAATTATAGTTTTTTACAAAATATTTTGAAAAGTTTTTTTTCATTTTATGTTTGTGGTAAGTCCAATGCCTTAGTACCTGTGTCTTTCTGTTGGAGATGCTCAACTGTGTTTCAAAATATCTTCTAGTCTACTCTATTTTCAGTTGGCCATTATGGCTTACCATAGTACACTGTGGCTACAGGGGGCATGGTATCTCCCAAGTCAGCACAAATCATGGAGCCTCAGGGGTGGGCCTCAACAGACTGACTCAGAGATCTCACCAGAGAAMGGGACCAAAGGTTGTTTCAGAATAATCTGGAAGTTAAAAATTTGCTAAACTAAATAACAATGAGAATTATATTTTAAAATTAAAGTGATATGATTTTGYGCTTAATTAGTTTACCCATGTTATACCTCATAGTGACTTTAATTTTCAGTTCTTTAAAAGGATGTATTTTTTTTTTAAAGAAAATACTCAGGGAGTTATAAGTAGAACAACATAGTATGAAGAAAGAAGCCTGTGACCTCTGCATTGAGCTAGACATCAGAATCTCCTGACAGCAGGCCACACCAATTGCACCCATATTCTTCTCAGGGTATTCCAGTTGCTGTAGAGGGCAAGGTGTATAACAACAATTATTATGTACCAGGAATCTTTCCCATTTAATCTTTATAACAAGGGACTGAACATATTATTGCTATTGTTTCAATGTTGCCTCCAAAACTCATATTGAAATTTGTCATTTTATGATATGGGGAGGCAGGACCTTTAAAACATTAGATAAGATCATAAGGGCTTCAATCTTATGAATAGATTATGTGTTTATCTGTCTGGGGAATGGGTTAGTTTTCCAGGGAGTAGCTTGGTTTTGAAGCAAGCAGTCTCACATGTGTCCTCTTGCCATTCCCTCCTGCTGCCCACTCCCACTAGCTTTCACTAGATGCAGCCCTTCCATCTTGAAATTGAAAGCCTCCAAAATTGTGACACAGAAATTTTGGTTCTTTATAAATTACCTTGTCTGTGTTATTCTGTTAAATATCAGACTTAATACAATTATCATCCCATTGAAAAGATGAGAAAATTGAGGCACCAAGAAGTTAGGTAACAACCCCATGTAATCCAGCCAGTTTAGAGCAGTCAGGATTATGATCCCTGTGAGTTTGGCTTTAATCTGTGCTCTTAGCCACTACAAATGTGAACCCCTGGAAAAGCCAGATATCCTTCATTTTKTGTGTGTGATACAGTTCTAATCTGAGAAGCAGGCTGAGTTAGCATTCGCTTCTCTATTTTGAACTTAAACTCTTAAGAGAATTAATGGTCTTGACATGAAGTCATGACTAGTAATTGGAAAAACAGCATATTCAAAGCATCAAATTACAAGACTAAACTAATTAAAAAAAAATTGAGGCTTATTTAACAATTTTATCCCAAACAAGATAGTGATTCAAATGTAGCAAAGTGCCATTTAATAATATTTGTGACTATTGTCTACAATTTGAAAATAATAAAATTAAATTCATCCAACTACCATTATGTACGTAAGTTTTTCTGGAAAATATTTTTTTAAAAATTAAAGTTTGAAAGATGAAATAGAGGTTTCAGAAGGGAACCATTTTAATAATTTTTAATTTCTAAAAATCTGAAGAATTATTCTGTATGTAACTCATCTTTTCCATGTCACCATCTCTGAGGAATGGGAGAAATGTGGAGTAGATTCATAAAATTTGTTTGTTTAAACTCCACACACCCTTGTTTACCCTGTGCTTCAATCATCTTGTCTTCTTAAATTATGTGAAATATCTGATGCTTCTACTAGGTCCATTTAAGATTTGAGCATTATTCTTCATGGATCTGTGTGTAAGAATGGTTTTTATTTTTGTTTGGTTCTTTTTGACCTCCAGGTCTTAGTGCTTCCATAGTCCCATTTTGAAAATATGCATTACAAGGTTTCTTTCTCTACTCTGTGATCATTTCTACAAGGTGTARAATGAACATTCATTCCATTCTAGACAACAACACAAAAAAGTAATAATGCTACAAAAATGGTATAAGTACATAAGCAAACTCATCAAAAACATTGATAATAACTTGCCCATACATCCCATGAGATGATCTCCAAACCTCCACTCACCTGACTAGCTGTACAATTGGATAGACAAGTCCTGTTGTCAGCTGCAAGATAAAAGTTGGTGGGACATGCACAGGTGTGAGTCTTTCCAGGCGCTAGGAGGCACAAATGACTGCAACCACCATTGTTTATCATGCAGAGATGTTTTGAGACTACAAATGAGAAATAGAAAACAAAATAAAATAATCAAGACAAATTGTATAACATGGGAATAAAGATAAGACTTTTAATCTTCATAACTTAAATTCAAATAAATCTTTGTAAGCAAGAACTCATCAAGATTATGAATATGTTTCTTATAAATGCTACTCATTGTCCAATAATATTAATTTCATATTAAATACATTTAAAGATTCTTTCTATAAAAACAAGCATATTAGTAGCAAACAAATTTTTCATTAAATAGAGACCATTAGCACTGTGGATGAAGACATACATGTTTAAAAATACAAATGTAAAATAAAACAGTGAAACAATGCTTTATAACCAATAGTATAGGGACTTTGCTTTCTAGTCCAGTTATGTATTGTCAATAAAATTATCAATACTTTTCCCACAAGATCTGATACAATTTCTATTGGAAATACTCTTGAGTAAAATTGATTTGTCATTTTTAGAACCTTAGCGTTCTTATAATTATACATATGTATATATATATAATTATATATGAATGTATATATTATAAGTATATACATGTATATATACATTTCCTTCTATCCAACATTCCAGAAATTAAAAATCCTATAAATATGTTGTAAACAAATCATTTTAAGTATGTAATTTTCACTTTTCTGAGTATGTGTTATTGCCATTTCAGCTTAATATGTTTTGAACAAACCAATAATTCTTTGTGCTATTATTGAGCTTCTAATCATATCCCTTAATAGCAGTACTTGATWTCAGATGAATTCATCATATAAAATAACACTAAAATGTATAATCTGGTCATCTTTCTCAAAACAAAATTACACTTAACCTTGAAAGAATAAAAAATGGAATGTTACTGAAAGATGTTGATGCATTTATGGAAATCATGGAAAGAATAATTACCATCAGGTTGTCTATAAGAATGATACACCTGGATATCTGTGATGGCATGCCATGAGTTAATCAGTGAGAGTCTGTCTGCTCCCGAGGTTTTATGGGCACGGCTGAGTGACTTGGTTTTCCCATCAGTCCAGTAGATGTAGTCTTCAAACAATGTTAGTGCAATCACCCCTGGAATATCTTGATTAGGGACTGTAATAGGAGATGGTAAGATTAATGTTCAGTCTTGGAAGACTGCCAGTTAAAATATTCAATACTACATGGGCTGACAGATACAACTGCTACAGAACTTCATGTGAATAATTGCTGTGACAACCTGTCAGGCCTGCAAGGTTCTTTATTACTGGTTAAGAGAATGCAAGAAAGGGCTCAGGAGTTCACTTTGCTCAGATTTAGCTTGGTTCAACCTCTGGGAAGAAAATAAATATGAACCTGCTCACCATTAGTGGAAGGCTGCTTCACCAGAAACAAATAGCATCCAACATTTTAAAATTCAAAATTGGGAGAATATATATATATTTGTTCTTAAATAAAATCCTAATCCTAAAATCTAAAGGTCAGTGACCAATTCTCTTCTACATTTAAAATGATTAAATTAAATATCAAGGATGAAATGTGTCTGCTACCTAGAAATTGACTACTATGAAACTACTATAAATCATTTAAGTCATTGAGGTTTTATGAGCTTTTTTTTTTTTTTACCTGCAAGGTGAGCGAAGGGTAGAAGTGTGGCAGATAACAAAACATTACACAGATTTAAGAGTTGTAAACTCTTTAGTTACAGGTTAAAAATTATAATTATGCCCTCATTATAGGCATGAACAATGAATTGAGCATCACAAAAGTGATTTATCTTTCCTTCAAGAGATTACAGGGTCCTATCAGGCAAATAAGATGTAATAAACCCTGTTTCATGTTTGGGGGTTAAATGATTTTATATAGTTTTATAATTTACTTTGTGCTTCCAGTTTCTCAAAACTAAGAACTAATAGAATTCAGAAGATAGAAATTCTCCAATATATAAAAACATTATAATACCTTTTTCTGTATTTTCAAATTCACTTTTTAATATTTCTAAGTGTTTTAATGAAAGATGATCTATGACTCCAGTAATATGTTCTTTTTTATGACGTAGATTTTGATAATTGAGAAGGAATGTTTATATTTGACTGCTCAGTACCAACTGAATTTGCTAATTTTAGGGATTTGCAGACTTATTTTCAAAATGCTGAGGAAATTAATTTTAAATCTACTGATTTGTTATGTTTATTATGTCAAATGTGATCAGATAATTCACTATAATTCAGATAAAGTAGACATAGAATGAATTAAATGGTAAACCTTTAAATAGATGGTGAATTATTTTATTGATTGTTCTTAACATCTCGCCAGAAACATACCCCAGACTAGATAATATGCATATGATGATACAAAAACTTAAAATATTCAGATGTGCACACTTGATAAGTTTTGAATTTTGATGTAAACATCCAGATGTACACACTTACTCATTTGTGTACTCTTATTAACATGGAGCAAACACTAAAATGATAAGTGGAGTTGGATAGAATGAAAGGAATAGTTTACCATTATGAATCATGTTTAAGCTATTGATACAAATTATTTCCCTCTCTTTTTTTATTCTAGAAATTAAAATAAATGCCACAAAAAAATTAACAATTGGGTGGATCATGGGGATGGGTGATCATTATGAGTTTTTAACCCTTATATGTATGTTGGGAAACTGGGAAAAAAATGTAAAAAATTATGAGGTGCTGAAACATTGAATTTGTATATCTTTAGATGCAAAGGAAGTAATTTCAACATTAAATATGGACACAAAAATCAATCATTTCTTTTTAAACTCAGTCCTTGAGAGATTCAATTAATTTCTGTGAAAAATGTAAAATTATTCTAAGAATTTGCCAATAAGCATTTCAAAAATAGCAGAGTCTTTGCAATTATTCAGCAATACTGTAGCTGATATTTATTAAGCACAGGCTTCAGAACTAGGCCAGTGCCTCTCCAAGTGTTTGGAGGTTCTTGTATCATATAAAAAGTATTATCAGGTGCAGATATCAATAGTTTTGAGGTTGAGAATTCTGCACAAGGATATTGACTTTATGTGCCTTAATTCATTTAGTATTTCCCAAAACTCTACTTACTGTAAGATAGGGGACTTCTCTTTGCAGTTGAGAAAACTAAAACTTGGAAAACCTAATAAAGGTGAGGTGAAAACATTAGTAAATGAAGGTAGTGGCATTTGAATCTAAGACACTATCTCTGGCTGCTGAGTTTTAATCCCTTCACCATCCTAGCTGAAGAAACCCAACTAAGTAGACGACATAAAGTAATGGGAACATTTYATAAACAACCTATTAAACACAGTTTATTTAGTGTCTTGGTTGCAATTGCATTGTTATTGTTTCTAGACATGGGACAATTTATGTACGTGAATACCCTCCACCCATCGGAAACTCGTGTTATGAAAAAATGATAACTTAAAGGAAATCAGAAAAGTTAATTCTTACTTCAGAAAAATATTACATAGATGAATGTACCAAGTACGTATAAAAAGTCAGGTTAAAATGAGGAAAATTAGTCTATTTGCCCAAAGTGACCATCTGTTTGTTTCAACTCCTTGTTTGATGCTGGCAGAGAAGAACAGGACGGATACTAGCAGCTTTGGAATCCCATTCCAGGTCTGCTCATTTGGTAAACATGCTTACTTCCGGAACAACATCAAACACAACCACCAGAGTATTTGTCCTAGAGAAAAACTAAAAATACCAACACGGACAATCCTAGACCCATTCATATGACATACCCTGGCTCCATCTGTCCAGTCTTTTAAGAAACAGGGACAAGCTCTTTTAATACCACAAGCAACACCAATGAAAATCAGGCAAAACAAAAGAAACCAAAACAAATGAAAATCTTCACATAATGCCCCTTTTTTACTATTTAGCTTATAACTTAGCAGTATGCTTCATTTCCTCCTTAGGACCTAAATCTCTTCTAGAAGAGTTAATTGACTATCTGCTTAAGTTTCTGAAAAAAAAAAAAAACTTATATTAACTATTTAATGATAAGTATAAATAAATAAAAGTATTTTCCCTTTTTTATTTTCTATCGACATATGAAGAGTTCAATCTACATTATGATTAAATAAAAAAATATGTTCTGGGCTAAAATGTCATTTATTTTCATACAAGAAACTTTTCTCATTCTGAAATAACAGAAAGAAAACAAAATAATTGGTTTTGGTTGTCTATTCATTTTTACGTTACGCACATTTATATATACATGTGATATATGTCTTTATCTACTATTTATGTATGCATGTACTTATGTGTAGCAATACGTCACACATAGAAACACATAAGAGCAGCATACAGATGTATTACAACATAGTGTGACAGTAGTGGAGATGACAAACATGCATTGTGATGGTTCAAGAGGAATGCTGCATAAACTCTAACACTGAGATGTGGCTGATTTTAGGGGAATAAGTAATCAGTGTTTTTTCAAAATGATGATACCTATGTTTCCTAGAGAAAAAATATTACAAGTGGTATTCCCATGTAAGACTCTATTTAGTTAATTAAAAGAAAAATGTGAAGAGTAAATTTAGGGAACCTTTTATTTACAGGTATCCTGTAGACACATGCAAAAGAGAAAATTAGAACTGCTGAGAAGGCTGTAGTTTAACAGCTACTTATCATATATATAAAGCCCATTTTAAAGCTGCTTACTGTAGTTATGCTTCTGCTCTATGTAACAGCATTATTTATTGAACTGTTTCCAGAATTTCACTCAAGCACTAGTTTTCTAATTTTCATCTCATAGACTGTATATTTCAGAAGAAGGGAGTTGATATTTGGCAAAATCATCATCATCATTGTTATCATCATCATCATCATCAAGGAAATATTCTCTTGTGGAGTTTCTCCCTTTTAGTCAGATTGGCTGGCATCCTGCTAAGGCTTCATGGTCATTGTGACAGACAGAAGAGGGGGTATTCCAGAGCATGCTCTTTTCTGAAGTGCTGCCTCTAAACCAGAGACAGCCTATCTGAATACACCTGATGAGTAATTTCTTTGAATAGTATTTATCATGCCAAACAAGTACCTTCCTGGATAACCTCATTCTAATTTTACATTTTCACTAATATAGAGCWAACATGTACAAGAACCAGAGGTCTCATCTTTTGTTGAGTTGAAATTTCATTGTGTTATAGGAGGGCATAATACTGGGATACCAACAGAAGGGACATGAATTTGCACAGTTGATTAGTACTTAGACATTTTTTCAGTGATGCCTATTTTTTTCTCCAATTTCTCTTCCAAAGTTTATGTTTAGGATCCAAGTGCTGTTTCCAAATAATGATTTATGGCCAGTGATTACTGGAATTTATTACTTAAAATGTCTATAAAGACTTTCCAATACTTTCAAATGTAAAACATATAATTTACAGAATGCAAACATTATATTCTATAATTATTTTTATGATGGAATAAAGATAAAGAAATAACTAGAGTGTAGAATTGATTTATTATGAATTGTTATATTGTGTTTGGAAGAAAATACTTAAACAAATTGTGATATTTTATGGTCAAACTGAACCTTGATATAAAATTTACGATGAAAAATTAATCTCCCAAGACTTTAAAATTAACAAGACCACCAATTATTTTTTTTCACTTTGTGAAATATATTTTAAGATTCTTCTATTTTTTCATTCTTGATGCCTTTACCCCAAATAAAAGTTCATATATCCTCAAAATCAAAAACTATTTGAATTTTTCTCCTTTAATCAAGCATTCTACCTATGAGTTTGTTGTTTGTTGTTTTTGTTTTTTTTTGTTTATTTCTTTTTTGCACATGCCAGGCAAGGATTCTATGGCTATCATATCATCAGCCCTTTTCTCCTTGTTTTGAATGTCTTCAGTCTCTTTTGAACAAGTCACAGTTCCAGCAATAAACAGAAAACACACCTTCAAATGATAATTGAAAAATTTAATATTGAAATTATTTACAGAGGTATGGTCCTAACTACAGGACCAATTACAGATTATTTTTCCTAGATCTTTTGCCAGAACCTGGTGAAAAAAAAATGCAGCTGAGAGAAAAAAAAGTCACTCAACAAGAAGAGTAGCCATTGGTGGACGAACTCAGTCACTGCTAAATAA